ATGTTTTGTTAAAACAAAGATAGTTTATGTTATGTCCAATGTAGCATAAAGGAATGCACCGTTCTGTTCACAGAGACTGTTCGGTAATCACGATGCATGTCTGATTGTGCTGTGATTGTTTAGTCCTGCCTAGAGCAGGACGTGTTAAGAAAGTAGAGAGTAACAGTAAACATTCAAATGTTCGCTACATCTCTGGTGTTGTTGCATTCATTTAACAGTACAGCTGTAGCTTATCCTATTGTATGAGTGGAAAAATTAAATAAAATAAAATTACAAATCCCTGTAAAACATGATAGCCCTGTTAAGTTATGTGAACTTATTTCTTCTCTTTAATCCCAACTGTCATGACAGGTTTTGGATATTGAACTCAAGTTTATAGGTTTTCAAAAATTAAACTTAAAGTAATCCATTGTTTTGACTTGAAGTCATTGTCTTGGATTGACTTTGATTAATGAAACAAAGGTTATCTTCAAGTTGGGTTTACTCACTTTTTTAAGGCAGCAGGTGAACGTTTATATCTAAGTTTAACCAACTTGAAATGTCATACAGTGTAACTTTTGGAATTATGGAATTATTATACCTTTTTGGAATTTGCCTCATCAGACCATAACACATGGTTTGGGGTGATTTAGTTGAGCTTGGATGTTTTTTGTGAGAAAGGGCTTCCATCTAGCCACCCTACCCCATAGCCCTGACATGTGAAGAATACAAGATATCTCACATGCAGAGAGTAATCAGTAATTGTCAGATATTCCTGCAGCTCCTATATTGTTGCCATAGGTCTCTTGGCAGCCTCCTTGGTAAGTTTTTGTCTTGTCCTTTTATAGATTTTGGAGCGAGGTCTTGTTCTTGGTAATGTCACTGTGGTCCTCCATTTTCTCTATTTGTAGATGATGGCCTTTACGGTGTTCCATGGTACATCTAATGTTTTGGAAAAAATTTTTAATGCCTTTCTCCTGATTGAGATTTTTCAACTAGTGAGACACCATGCATGCTTTGTAAGCTTTTTGTGGACTATGGCTTCAGCTGTCAGATGAAACCAAGATGTTAAGAAAATCCTAAAGGAACAGCCGGTATTAATCAGAATAATTTCATTGATGACAGCTGAATG